TTTTCATTCAGAGCTGCTGATAGATTCAAACTGTCAGTGGAGTTTTACATTAGCAACTTAACTCTCTATGGATTACACCACCAGAGATCTCTCCTGGAAATGTAGGGTAATGGTGGCCATAGTTCAATGATGATTAATTTTATAAAACATAATGAATAGGAATGATTATATGAAACACAATGTGAATGAAGAAAAGTGTCACACACTGAAAACCCCCCCAACAATAACAGGAGTTTTATGACTCAATACATACGTATAATGTGTTATATAATATGCTGTACCATTCAATACTAGATAATGTAATTACATTTTATACAAGAGGCATGAGATACAAAGGGCTGTGTCTGGAAAGCTCTGCATTCACTATGATAGGGATTTAAGATATTAAAACCTCATAGAACCATGAAAAAAAAACCCCCACAAAAAACCCATAATGAATAGGAAAGAGTGTATGAAACACACCGTTAATGAAGGATAATGTGAAACACAATGTATATAAACTTTGTAAGAGAACCAATATAAAATAAAAATGTTTTTAAAAAACCAAACCAAAAAAATCTCTGAAAAAGATAGCTCAACTATTAAAAAATGTTTGCTATGAGCATTGCATGCTTATAATTATCTATGAATTCATCAGCAACAGTCAATCTGCAGCAAAAAAGAAAACTTGTAAGAGACAGTCTAAGTTAATAATGTTAAGAAATTAAGTGCAGATGGTGAAAATGATGGCAGAACGTTTTTTGGCATGTGAGTTCTGCCACTGAGCTGTACATGTACAAACTGTATATTGATACATGTCTGGGTGTGTATATTGTTGCCAAAAAAGAAATAATTTAAGAAAAATCATAACTCTTCATAATGTTCTCATTTCTCAAATGTTGTTGTTGTTGTTAAGTGTCACTGAGTTGAGTATGATTCATAGTGACCCTATAAACAACAGATGTGAACCCTGTCCTAACTTATGCCATCTTTACCATCTCTGAAACACTGGCTCCATTGATGCAGTCACTGTGTCAATCCATCTCATTTGGGAGGGAGGGGTGTCTTCCTATCTTTAGGTGACCTTCTGCCTTTTTAAGCATGAAGGCCTTTCCCAAAGAATAGCCTCTCCTAGCAACAAGCCCAAAATATGTGAGACAAAGCTTCCCCATCCTTGCTCTGGCTGCCATTATTTTATTTTATTTTTTAATTTATTTTAATGAAAGTTTACAGAGACTTTGGATTTCCATTCAATCATTGTTGCACTTTTCTCCCTGCCCAACCTCCCCCCAAGTTCAATCTTCTCTTTGAAAAGTAAAAGAAAAATTCCTTCATTGGTATACAATCCCTCCCCCCAGGTCCACTCCATTATGCAGCCATCACTCTGGACTTCTATCATGACAATAATAATCATATATCCCTTTTAAACAGTTTTCTCCCTCATCTGTTTTAATGCAGTATACATCATTCCTCCCCTCCTTCTCTGTCTTCCCTCCACCCTGAGGTCAGTCCCATTTCACAACAGTTGCCCTATGCAATATTTGTCCTTGTGTGGCTGCCCTTTTTACAAGACTTATCTATTCTTTTGACAGCGATGGAATATTCAGTACTCTTCTCCAACACCACAAATAAAAGAAATCAATTTCTGTTCTAATATCATTATTCACTGTCCAGCTCTCTTGTCCATAGCAAGTGACTGAAAAGAACATAGCCTAAACCAGGCACACCTTAGTCTTCAAACTGACATCTCTGCTCCTCTATAATTTGGAGAGGTCTCTGACTGCAAACTTGTCTGATGCAATACAGATTCTTATCTCCTGACTACTGGTACCAAGGGTGTTGATTGTGAATCCCAGTAAGATGAAATAATTGACAGTTTAAATCTTTTCTCAATCTATTATGATGTTGCTTATTGGTCTAGTGGTGGGGATTTCTGTCTTCATGATGCTGAAATATAACCCATATTAAAGGCTGTAGTCTTTGATCTTCTGCAGCAAGCACTTCAAGTTCCCCTCACTTTCAGTAAGCAAAACTGCATAATCTGCTTATATATATATATACACACACACACACACACACACACACACACACACACACACACATCTATGGGCAGTTGATGAATCTTTCTTTGATCCTGATGTCACATTCTTTTTCATAGAGCTCAGCTTCCCAAATAATTTCCTCAGCACAGACTGAATAGATATGGAGAAAGGATACAACTCTGATGCTCACGTTTCCTCATTTTAAACCAAGTAGTGTTCATATAGAAACTCTCTTTTCCTTTAGCCATAACTTCCCATCCTCTCTAGAGGCTCCTCCAGCCCTTGGCAGTCAACTTATTCTCCCTATGTGCATATTTTCTATATATATTTTATATAAAAGGAGGACCATATCATTCTTAGCCTTTGTTTCCAACTTAAATCTAATATAACCTAATTAACTTACATGAAGTAGCGACTTCTTTAAATTATTGAGGAGCAATGATATCCGTTTGAGGACTAAGGTGAGCCTAATTTAGGCCACTGTCCTTTCAGTCACCTGCTATGCTATTGAGAGCTGGACAATGAATAAGGATGACAAAAGGTTGATGAATTTGAACTCTGGTGTTGGAGGAAGAGTGCTGAATATCCCATGAACTGCCAAAAAAACAGATGTTTTGTAGAAGGTGCAGCCAGAATGCTTCTTGGAGGCAAAGATGATGATGCTTCAGCTTACATACTTTGGGCATTTTGCTAGGAGATTCCTTGGAGAGGGACATCATGCTTGGGAAGGTGGGGGGATGGTTAAGGAGAGGAAGACCCTCAACAAGGTGGATTGATACATGTCTGCACTAATGGGTATGAGGGTGTCAGACTGTGAGGCTTAGAATAGGACAAGTTTCAGATCTGTTGTTGTTATGAATCATACTCAACTCAACAACACCTAACAACAACAAGAACAACAACCTCACTTACATAACACTATCTTTCTGGCCTTGTGTCGCATTTGAGGTTGTGGCCTGTTCTAGGTATACACCTATTTTTCACTTCTCCAGCAACTTAAACATAGCCAGTATCTCCCTTTGATGTTTGGGAAAAATCATCTGGAATGGAGGTTACGGTAAGCTTTTCTGAGAACAGACAGAAACAAGCCCTTGAGACAAGTGGTCTTAGACAATGGGTACGAGAGGCCTGGAAACAGGACATCACATGGACAGCTTAACCCTCTCCAAAAACCGGAAGTCAAGCTTCCAGTAGTGCCCCGTTCCACACGGGGCTGTGTCTGTTCTAGTTTGGGTGGGTGTTGAAAAATCCTAGTCAACCAAGACTGCAAACAAATGTGAAGGCAGTTCACCTGTGTGTGGGAGAGCAGTGTTTTAAGGGCAAGGCGATATTTTAGGAGAACAAGTTTGTTAGGGAGGCAGGTTGCCTGCATCCTCAGTTACTCCTGCGCTTGATTTAGATGACAAACTCCTACACACACTGCGAGGCACCTTCGGCCTTCTTTTTCCTCCCAGGTTCTTCTCTGTTTCCAGAATGACAAAGGATGATGGGAGGGTCTGAGGAACAAGAGCCCCTGCTTTGAGAGGACTAGATCAGGATCCCTGTGAGCTGGGCCCGAGAAGCTGGCTCTCAGAGGCGCTTCAAGTGCACCTGACAGCAGCTCATAGTAGCTCATATCAAATGCAGTTGCCCAGAACAGCAGGAAGTGAGCACCTTGATCATTTTGCATTTAACCCAACCGTAACTTGCATGTATCAAGGTTCCACTGGATGACAGCAATTTTCACACAGGTATTCTTTAATTTATCTTTCTTCCATCTTCCTAAACCATGAAGGAGAGATTTTTAATATTTGGATGAATGGAGAAGACAAGAGTAAATGTGGAGAAGAAGTAGAAAGTTCGCCACTGGTTTGTTCTGCAGTTAACTACTCAGAAAGCCCCGGTGGGAGCCTCTCTCCATGAGGCACAGGATTTCCATGTTTATAATCAGAGCCCACTATTTGTCAGTTAATTTGTTCACTGTGTAGACCCCTACTGGATACTGTGAACAGCAGGAGAGGGCTATGATGAGGCCAAGATTGGCCACACATTTGTCATGCAAAGCACGTTTCTGCACAGGGAAGGTTTTAACCTGTATTTAGGATCTCAAGGAACCTCCAACAACTCTGATATAGATACTTCACAGGCCCTTAGAGCTGTCTTTCTCACAAAAGATTTAGAGATGAAAACTCAAACCTTGAGTCAGATTCAACCTATAATTGCTGACCCTCCAGCCAGTTTCTGAGGCTCTAAATTGCACATGAGGAGATTCTCCTCCATGTCACACATGAAGGTACTTCTCCTGAGGAGTTGCTGGTGGATTCCAAAGTCTGGAGGGGCATGGCCTTTGAGTCAGCAGTGCAACTCTTTATGGGCTACACAACTATTTTGTACTGTCAAGTCAGAACCGACTCATAGCTGCCCCTCCAGGGGTTTTTCAGAGGCAATAAACTGCATGGGAGGATACTGTCTAACTTTCTCCCGCGGAGCAGCTGGTGAACTTGAATCATGTGCCTTTGGGACAGCAGCACAGCTCTTTACATTTAGGCCACCAGAGCTCCCTATTTTGAGGTAAGTACACTCAAAAGTGCTTGGAAAAGTAGAGAAGGTCAACAAAACACAGAGAGGCCCTCAATGACAGAGATTCACACAGTGACAGCAACCATAGGTTAGAATATAGCAGAGACTGTGGCGATGACACTCAGGCTGCTATGAAGTTAATTCAATGGTCCCTACCAACAAAACTAACATAATCACTGCTTCTGTTTAGAGCTCTTTTGCTTATTTCTTCAGCCAAGACTTTAACCCACTTCTTCTTGGCCTAATTTCCCATCACCTTGAAAATTATTTTTCAAGATTAAATAATTTCTTAAGAATAGAAGAAGGAGAAGGAAAACAGTAAATTAATGAAAAGGCCCAGGACTGAGCTGATGATGGATACAGAACTGTTTGTGATATGTGGCTCTGTTGTGAGCAGAAGCAGGGAGGTGCGGTTCCTACCTCGTGAGCTTGGTGCCGATCTGCTGCCTCAGCTCCAGCCTCTCTTCATCAGTCTGTCTGGGGAGAATGTTCTTCTCTTCCAGCTCTCGCTTGGAGGGTCTGTTGCTGAGCTTAATGGCTAAGGAGTCCTTCCTGCATACCTTCATGGCCAGGGAGCCTGTAGGAAGAAGAAACAAGTTCATCTATTCTGATGCACATATGGCTGAACTCCAAACAGAAAAAAGGCAGAAGACAGACTTACAGGGATTAACATCTGAGAGTTATGAGCAACCATTGTTGTCAAATCCACTTAGACTTACAGTAAATCTACATGTGTCAGAGTATAACTATGTTCCCTAAAGTTTCAAGGGCTGATGTATTAGAAACAGAGTGCAAGGGCTTTCTTCCAGGGTGTGTCTGGATGAACTTGAACCTGCAACATTTAATAACCAAACATGTTTACCATGGCAACTTGGTAAAGTTTATGGACTCCACCATACACAGTCATTCCCCCCCCGCCCACTAGAAAGTTCTATATACTTGGCTCAGCAGGGTCTTTGGGGAATCTTGTGATTGAACTTATGCCCTCCAAGGCTGCTAGCATCTGGGCCATCCCACAAGAATTGGCAGGGATGACTGTGGAATGCCATGGAGTACTTAGATGAGAGAAAGGCAGAGGCCTTCTGCACCATGTGAAGTTGCTGGAAGGGCCTTGAGCAGACACCTGGGAGATGAAAGAGATTCTATCAGGTACCAGGAATGGGGAAAAGTATTTTCTAGCAGAGATCTGTATCTACAAAGGCTCAAAGTGGATAGATAAAACAAGTAATCTCAGGAGACAGGAAAATGAACTACTGTGGAGTTAATGGTAAGTAGATTTAATCCAAATGGGTCTAGTTTTGGATGGAAGTGTAGGGGAGGTCTGTGCATTAGGTAATACGCTACCAGGATTATTATTTTAAAAGGAGGGGCAGGGTGCCACGGAGCTGCACCGAGTGTGCAGTGCACTAGGTATGCAGTCTCAATCCACCAGCTGCTCTGCAGAAGATGGAGGGGTAATCTCCTGCTGTGGGATTTGTTGCTGCTGAAAACTTGCTGGAGTGTCAGCTATGGGTTCTGAGTCGACAGTACTCAACAATAACGTGAGGGTCACCAGTCAGCTCTGGCTGCCCCTCCATCCTCTCCATGCCTGTTGGCCTATTCATTACCACGTTGCTCATTTCACCGCTCATTCGTGCCAGACCTCTGAGCAGCTCTCACAGCAAGCAAGAGCAAGCTACCTGAAATCTGGTGAGCACAAGGCAAAAGGGAAACTGTGCAGAGCAACCAATTTGGGGAAAATTCCTTCAGATTTTATTTATTCAGATTTTTCTCCTCTCTTTATTCATGGCTTAGTGGTACGAGATTGTACTGCTAACCCAAAAGTATGTGGTTCAAATCCACCAGCTATGCATGAGAAGGATGGGCAGTCTCCTCTTGTGTAATTTACTGCTCCTGAAAACCCACTGGAGGGTCAGCTATGGGTGAGTTCTGACTCAATGGTACCCAACCACCATGACTGGTCTGAGAACATGGGTATCAGCATCACAAAATCCTAGCATCAAGTGTTGTCAGCACAATCACTTAATAGATGGCCAATTATTCTTTATTTCATCCTATAATCTCTAAAATGGGATCACAGTATCTACGCTAGAGGATTGTTTTGCAAATGACAGAATAGTATCTCTGCGTTACCAGGCATTTTAAATCCAGTTGTCAACAAGTCAATGACAACTCCTGGTGACCCCATGTGTGTCAGAGCAGAATTCTGTTCCATAAAAGTTTCCGAGAACTGATTATTGGAAGGCAGATAGCCAGGACATTCTTCCATGACACCTTTGTATGGACTTAAATAGTCAACTTTTGGTTGGCAGCTGACTGCGTTTATTGTTTCCACCTCCCAGAGCCTCCGTATGCAAGGACTACTATTTTTATAAGTTCATTTAACAAAAGGTAGACTGAATTCTGCAGCCGTATGCCTACTACCAAAATTTATTTATTATTTGAGGTCAGAATGATATAATTTTGAAGTTAGCCTTTTTAATTTCCTGTTTCTCAGCATATTTTAAAGGACTGCAATAAAAAATTTAACTCCTGCTCTTCTAAAGTTGCTGAGATTTAAATGTGTATGTGCTGCATAACCAACTATTATGAGCTCAGTGCTTTCTGGACAAGAACAAGCCTTTGGGCGTTTCCCTTGTTCCCTTCCCTTTTTGAGGGGCAAGTGTTTGGATCCCAAGAGAATCAATTATAGAAAGAACCATCTGAAGACAGTAGCACAGTATTTGCAATTTTTAGAGTTAGGATGACACTTGTAGGGCATTTATATTCTCATTTGGATGAAAAACTGAGGTTCAAAGAGGTTCATGAAATCGCCTCATGACTCAGCAAAGGCACTCTGGTAGCCTAGTGGTAACGAGCTGTGCTGTCCACGCAAAGGCAGCTATTCCATGGGAGAAAGATGGGCAATCTACCCTTGGGCAACTTATAACCTCTGAAAACCCACTAGAGGGTCAGCTGTAAGTCAATCCTGATTCGACAGTGAATGTCAACACAGCAAGACGCAGTGGCCCTGGTGGTAACATTCTGGGCTGCCAACTGAGAGGCTGCTGCTCAGGAGAAAGATAAAGCAGTCTCCTCGCATTAAGATTTAAGGTTCGGTGCAGCAGGTACCTTTATACCCCGGTCATCACAGACAAAGAGAAGGCAGAGAGACTGAGGCAGCCCCTGCCCCCAGGTTTGGCAGTGAAGGAGCTGAAATGAACCAACATGCTGATTTGAAAAAATAAAATTGATAAAAGATTTACAGCTTTACAAAGCTGACAGAGGGTCCCCATGAGTTGGAATTGACTCAGCAGCAGTGGGCTGGGTTTGGTTTGATGACCCATGGCCAGGTAACAGCACAGCCACAGTGAGAGGCCAGGCTGTTGGGAGCTCTCTTGGTAACCCCCTGCTTCCCCAGGGAGAGGCTGGCTAACGTACTGGTATACAATGAGCTGTCGTCATCCTCATCCTCCTCCTCTTCCTCCTCTTCCCTTGTGTACAGGCAAGAAGAGTCTTCGTAGTCTGATTCGTGAGGCACATTTTCTTTATTGTCATCACATTCAATCACAACAGTTGGCACTTGTCTTATTTCCGGGAGGCCCAGAGGTCCTGCCTTTGTGATACCGTCGCCTGAGTGCAAACTGGAGCTGTGGTAAGAAGTGGAACATGGGACCCGCTGATCAGAGCTGTGGAGAGACAAGCAGGAGAGGGAAAATTAACATGGTCCAAGATGCTACATCGACATGTGCCAAAAATGCTTGTCGTCTTAAAATCAACCCTTTGTTCCTCCCATGGAGCAGCTGGTAGATTCGAACCACTGGCCTTTTGGTTAGCAGTTTGTCATGTTACGTACCACACCACTAGAATCCCTTGCAAAGAAAATATAGTAGTGATTTTCCCAATAGAATCTATCTAAGATCCTTTAGCAAATCAGAATTGTTTTTAGAACAAGCTATAAATGAAATGCAGCAAGCAGACTGGTAATATTGAGCCAGAAGGACGTAGTTAAACTTTATAAGACTTTTTCAAATTAACTGGAAGTGAGATTTATATCTTACATTGAAGGAATTTCTAAGTGCACACACAAAATCAATGTATATTTCCATCTAAATGTTTCTGACATTCACAAGGAAATGGAGTTTGAGACTATGCTCTAAATTAACAAATTTTATGTTTGATGATTTGATCCAAGAGAAATCTCCTATGGTATATGAATGTGTAACAGTCTCCTCTGAACCATTTACTTATGTTTTAAATTATTGATATGTCTAACTCAAATTCAATTAACTTTCTTCCTTCCATTATTTCTTAGGAGCTGAGTTTCCCTTTGCATTTTGCAAATAATTCTTCAGTGACACAAATGGAAAATCTAGTTAACACATTAAGACCGAAGATGTTAGAGGCAATGAACGAAACCATTTTAAATCACATAATCACAAAAATGCAGTACCTTACTACAAACGATTGCAGTATGGCCAGCTGCTAAGCAGTGGGCCCTGCATTGTGGGGTCACTGAGTGCCAGTGCTATGCCGTGCTCTTGAGTTTTCAGTGGCTGTTCTTTGGAAGATTACCAGACCTTTCTTCTGAGGTACCTCAGGGTAAATGTGACCATTTTCACCACCCAGAGCCGTTAACAGTTTGGGAAATTCTATTTCCCATCTAATTGAATATGAATGACAATTTGAATGAGAAGGTGGCCCTAACTCTAACCCTAACCCTAATCCTAACCTTAACCCAGGGAGAAAAAAGCTAATAAAAGGTAGCCCTCTGCCAGATAAAACTCTAAACAAACTGAAATCATTGCCATTGAGTCAGAATGGCCTCACAGCCGACTCTCCAGCAAGGAGGCTGTAGGGTACACAAGAGGAGACTGTCCAGCTTTCTCCCCTGGAGCTGCTGGTGGATTCAAACCATCAGAGAGGTGCTGCCTTTGGGCTAGCAGTACAGCTACCTACAGACCACGTCACCAGAGTGCAACGGAATCCCATCAGGCACTGGTACTGAATTCCAATTATGCCACACCGTGTATTTAAGAAAAGTGAGGAGGCAAGATGAAGAAATCAAAGTCTAATTCTATGTTTCCCCCTCATCTCTGTCTTTCCTGCCCCATTTACAGATTAGTTAGCGATGTTTTTCCTAAAGGCATGAGTCTCAGTCGGGAGTTACAGATGGAATAAGTCTTGTCAGGTAGGAAGAAGATTTTAAGGGGTGGTGGTTGTTATGTGCCATTGAGTCATAGACAACTCATAGCGACTCCATGAACAAAAGTCTTGAAGATGAAAAATTTCCATCTTTTCTCCAAGTTCATAGAGTTTCTGGCGGCAAGCTATTCCAGAAGTGGATGCCACTTCCACGTCCAAGCCTGTCCCAATTTGGGAGCTCCACCAAACACTGTCCACCATGGGCAACCATTATCACACGTAAGGGGTAGAGAGATGGAAACTAGAAAGCGTAAGAATTTCTGGAGGCTCCAAATTGACTTAAAGGGACAAAGAAGGGCCAGCATTATGCACAGGGATCTAAGAATCTAATTTTATTTAGTCTGGGGGAAGGAAGAGACTAATATCTTTTCCTCAAAAGAACATAGGATCAAAATGGAAACATCCTACTGTGCAGGAATGGAAGAACCAATCCTCAAATTTATATGGAATGACAAGTCTCAAGCAGATAAGGGCATGTAATCTTGAAAAAAAGAGCAATGGAGAAGGATGTATACTTTCAGATTTCAAAATGCACTACAAAGTTGCAGTAAACAAAACAGCCTGTACTGATATAATAGGCAAACAGACCAATGGAACAGAACTGAGAGTCCAGAAAGAAACTACTAGATTTAAGGTCAACAGACTTTTGATGAGAATGCTAAGACCATTAGTGCCTTTAATAAATGGTGCACGCACACGCAAAACAAAACACAAGAGAGCTAGCTCCATAACTCACATTATACAAAAATAAACTGAAAATGGATTGAGGTTCTAAATGTAATTGAAAACTCTTGGAAGAAAATGTAAGGGCAGTATTTCAGAACCTGGTTTATTTTAAAAAAAATTTCTTGCTATTGAAAATATGGACAGAAAAGCATACTGATTCAACTGTTTCTATGTGTAAAAGTCAACAGCATGGATTACATTAATCATATTATGTCCCTATCACCACTATCCTTTTCCAAGTTTTTCATCCATTAGCTGAGTGACCCCTCAGCAGTGTTTCCCTTCTCCTTCTTCCTTCCATCTCTGGAGGTCGCTGACAGACTTCTGTCATTATTTTTTTCCTATTTCATAGAAGAGGGATCAAACAGTATTTGTTGTGCTGTGATCAGCTTCTTTCACTTGTATATGGTTTTCAAGATTCTTCTAGGTTGTAGTGTAAGTGAAAACTCCACTGTTCTTCGGGTTTCAGAAATATCCTATTATATGTGCACCAATCATATTTTGTTTATCTATTCATTTGTTTGTGAAATAGCTTGCCCCCGGAAACCCTATGGGGAGAAACAAAGCAAGTTATACAAGTGTTCAGGTCTTTTGTTCATAGGGTCGCTATGAGTCGTCCATGACTAGACAGCACTTAACAACAACAACAACAACAACAACAACAACAACAACAACACAGAGAGAGCTCAGTTGGCCTAGTGGACAGAAACTGATGCTACCAAGTCAAAGATGGGTTATTTTAATCTGTGGCTCTCAGGCTTGGTTTTAATTGTTTTTGGTCAAACATTCTTCTAATTGGTACAGCACTGGTCTGCCCATTTGCTTTACAGAGGTAACTTGTGGCTGCTGTGATGCTGAACACTGTAACACTGATGTGTCAAATGCTATAATGGTTACCCATGGTGGACAGTGTTTGGTGGAGCTTCCTAATTAAATAAGCTTGGAAGTAGGAGTGGCATCCACTTCTGAAATAGCCTGCCTCCGGAAACCCTATGAACTTGGAGAAATAATGAAAAGTTATACAAGTGTTCAGGTCTTTTGTTAATAGGTTCGCTATGAGTCATCTATGACTTGATGGCACTTAACAACAACAACAACAACAACAACATTCATCTGTTGGGAATTTATGCTGCTTCCACCTTTTGGCTATTCTCAATAGCCAAAGATGTGCTTTAAATGAAGGGTCTCACTGCTTAAAAACAAATGAAAGCCACTGGAATGTAAGACTGTCATTTAAATGTAGCATGATATCAAACAAACAAAACTCCACTTGCCAATGAGCTGACTCCAGTGCACTGCCACCCTGTAAGTGCTGGAGTAGAACTGGGCTCTCTAAGATTTTCAATAGGGAGCGCTGGTGGCCTAGTGGAAAGAAGCTGTGCTGCAGTCTCAAAGGCACACAGTTAGAATCCAGCTGCTCTGCAGAAGGATGAGCAATCTCCTCCAGTGTATTTACTGCTTCTGAAAACCCACTGGAGGGTCAGCTATGGGTTCCAGCATTAACAAGGCTTTCAGTGGTTGATTTTTCAGAGATGCAGATCTTCAGGCCTTTCTTACGAAAACGTATGGGTGGAGCATGTCAACTGTTTGCACCATTTAGGAACTACCAATTCCCTACACAACTCAATTATTTACCTTGTTTTATTCCTCATCCTCACTCTGTTCCCATACAACTTACCCCTTAGTATGCAAAACTGCGATTTAATGCCCTTGGTCTGGAATGTGCTCTCATTTTATCTCAACCCATTATTAATATTTATTAACTTATCAAAGGCATTAATTATTCATTTTTAATTGCTGGTACATGTCTCAGGTCTAATGTTTACAAAAGACTGTACAATAGTTAACTCGTGCACATCTCTCTGTAGGCTCCAAGGGAGCAGGGATCATGTCTTGGAACCAGTGCTTAGTACTATGTCTAACACCAAGTTGATACTCATTTTTAGTCTTTTGGGGGAGGAGATTTTGTTGTCATTAACAAACAGAAATTTCCTTACTATTTAGAAGGCTAAAATCTCCTGTCAAGTCATATCTGATTTACAGGAATCTTGCAGAACAGAGTAGAACTGTCCTTCAGGTTTTTATAAGGCTCCGATCTTTATAGATGTAGGCTGCCACAACTTTTCCTTCAGATCATTTGGATAGCATGAACCAGCAACCTTCACAACCGAGACATCTGGCTCAAAAAGTCCAAAAATATTTACTATCTGATGCTTTATGAAAAAATGCTTGCCTTTTTGTCTGACTTCTTAACAAAGCTGCTCTCCTGAGTTTCCTGATGCTGCCCAAGGAGGACAAGAAAACAAAGAAGCCAGAAAGTTGGCCAAGGACAAAGGTCCATTGAACAAAACTGAGGGCAAGGCCAGAAAGAAATGGTCCACAGGCAAAGCCCTCAAGCTCAATGACCTGGTCTTGTCGGACAAAGCCACATCTGACAAACTCTACTACTACTACTACTACTACTTCTACTACTACTACTACTACTACTACTACTACTACTACTACTACTACACCACACACACACACACGCACACACACACACACACACACACACTATACAGTCTACTTCTTCTCTCTCTATACATGTATATACTTATAGTTGTTCCCTACTATAAGCTTATAACCCTGGCTGTTGTCTCTGAGAGACTGAAGATTCGTGGCTCCCTGGCCACGGTGGCCCTTCCGGAGCAGCTAAGAAAAGGACTTATCAGGCTGGTTTTAAAACATAGAGCTCAAGTAATTTACAACAGAAACACCA